ATATGAGTTTTTGTTTTTGTATATGGATTCAGATGAAGGGTCATGGCACCTTATTTTTGTTTGGGTGCTAGGTTGCTGGTATTTTCTTTTTACGGCTTCTGTACAAGGTCTAAAGGAAAGGGTTTGTAGGTTTCTTCATGACCTGCGTCCTGGGATGTTTTTGTTCCAAAGGAAAATTTTCAGTCCCGGCGAATCAATGCAAGCTCTTATGATTTCACAAAAAAAAAAAGGTGAACCTGGCAACTTGAGATATAATCCATTATCCACCCAAATTAATTATGCAGTTGTTGGGTTCAGCTGAAAATCTTCTGAGCAAAACACCCATATATTATCAATGTATTAGTTGGCTTATCATCGCCACATTCTCTTGAAATAATTATGAAGTTGGTTTGAAAGATAACAATGAATAAAGTAGCGGCCAGCGCCACAAAATCCCCCAACCCAACCCCTCCCTTAATTAATCTCATGGCTAGCTAGGTTGGAAAGCTGGACTTTGAATCTTTTGACATTAGAAGGTTTTTTTTTTTTTTTCTTTCTTCGTTTGGGGCCAACACATATTTCAGTTGATCCTATCAACTGTCATAATCAGGTCATGCTCAATAACACTAAGCTTGATTAAGATGTACTGATAATTAGATACTTTAACGACTGCATGGCTTGATTTTATTTATATTGTAATAATTAGTAGATAAGATATACATACAATATTCTATGCAATTTAGTTATATATATATAAAAGTTTGCGTATGATCTTAACTAAACACCGAATTAATGGGCCACCAGGAATTAATCATATCATTTTTAGTGTTGGAAAATCAAGCGAGATTATTGGGTGTGATTACATCTTATCATTAGAGTGATTAGACCTTAATTTGTTTATCTATGTATCATTCAGAACATCTCATCGACAACTAACGTTTTATGTGCTATGAAATGATATTTATCTAATCATACATTATATGCTAACTTAATCTAGCTATAGTTGATTTGATCAAAAAAGGCAAGTCCTATTGGTAGGATAATTGTTTGCACAAATTAAGCATCAATCAATTTTATGAACCTCGAGAAATATTAGTGGTCATGAATTATACTAATCTTTAGCAAGAAGACATAATACAACTGTTAAGCATCCCTATCAGGAAAAAAATTTTTTATTGGTAACTTTTTAGAGCAATATTTGACTTTAATAAGGGCATTTTCAAATTGAAATTAAAAACCAAATTAAAGATTAATATTGTTAATTAAATATTTGAAAATTTGCGAATGATCTGAAATAATCCCTACTTAAAAACGATTGAGAATAACACTAAAATGGCTTTGGTTTAAAATTTTGTAGTCAAGTGTTTTTCTTTTTGCCAAAAATAGGATATGCTATTATTTTAATAATCATTAAATTATTGAAAAACTAAAAACTTCAAAAATATCAAATTGATTAAAAAATATAAAAAGGGTAAGAAATACTTGAAGAAAAAAATATGTTTTTTGAAAGAAATAGAGCATGTTGGCACACGTGTGAACATTGTGGTTAGGATTCTGTTTTCTCCAAGGAGCTGAGCTGCTGTGTTGACAAATTCTACAGTTGCGTAGTCAAAAGTCAGCCGAACGCCAACAGAGTTGATTGAATGACAGCCGTTGAGATCGACTCACAGGAAGACAAATCGAGAATGCCGCAATGATAAAAGCCACGTAAGCAATGATGGAATGGTCACAAACTTACATCCTGGCAGCCAGCCACTTGGATGCATTGTTAAGAAAAACGGGGCAGTTCTGGTTGCGTGATCTGCGGCTGCCACCTGAGGCAACGGTCCACATTTGATCACGATCCATTCCTATCAGGGAAGGGAACAATTGGGATGGGAAAGCTTGAAAAGTTTTAATGATAGAATGATTGCAAGGATGGATGGCTTGTCAAATATGTGTTGTTTAATCAAAGATTTACATGGTACATATGATAGCACTTTCCAAAGTCCAAACACATTATCCCAAGAACATAGTACCAAAGCCAATCATTCAACTCTATGCAATAATACAACCTTTTTGCCATAAATGTTACTAGTCTTCGAGTTGGACGATAAGAATCCTAATTAGTTTTGACTTATTATTAGCTTACAATTTCTTGGGAACCCAATGTTTTTTCTTCATCTCAGTTTAATTTTTTCGCCCCAGTGTTTTATATTTGTCCGTACAAGCACAACCAGCTCTGTGGGAGTATATTCGTCAAATGAGACTTATTTTTCGATTATGTAGTTTAATCCAAACTCTGTCCATCATTTTCATTCCTGCAGCTTGAGATAAGTCTGAACAACACCCTGTTTAATAATTTTTTAATGACTTATATTTATCTTATTTCGATCAATTTATTTTAAATTAAAAAATATAGCCCTCTATTAGTCTGGCGTAGATCTTGGTCAAAATTTCCCTCTTATTAGTCTGGCTAGATCTAGTCATCTAGCCAAGCACATCCGTCATCGATCACGCAGCCCAACCCCAAATTTAAATTATGAGTTAAATAAATAGTCATATAGCCAGTTAGCCATTAATTTATTTGACATATTATCTACTTTAATTGAGAACTGAATAAATTATTAACTATAGGTTCCCATAACTATAATTTTGCTCACGTGTTGTTGCAGGGTAAATTTTTTTTATTTGAATCATTTATAATTTTTCAAAATATTTATCTTTTTTATATATCTTAGTATATATAATATATGTATAAAATAACAGGAATATCTCATAAAATTATTTGAAACATTATTTATTAATAATTAATATTACTTAAATATTTTTATTTTTTGTTCATATTATAATCATAATATATGCATTCAAAAATTTGACTCATTTGTTAGTGTATAATTCTTTACTTAAAAAATAAAATTCAAAACTTTTTTCTCTCAATTATAAAAAAAATATTATTGATATAATTAATTAAAATTTCTCAAAGTTTGTTTTAAGATGTTGCTAATAGAATAAAATACAATGTATAAGATAAAATTAGTACTTAATTATTTTATTTAATGATAAGTGTATGTATCTCTTTATCAAAAAGTGGTTTCTAATCCTCAAGCTAAAAAAAATAGGTGTGAATATGATTTTCTTACGTTATATCACTTCTCATAAATAAGTATACTAGATATAAAATATTTAAACCTTTCAAATTTATTATGTAATCTTATTTTTTTATTTAATCAATTAAGTATGCTACTTTTACATTACACATTCTGCACTTTCATTTCTTTCTTTTTTTGAAAATATAAAAAAATAGTCTGAAAGAAATTATTTTTAATCTATTTAAATAAACATATAAATATAATACATTACCATATAAAAAATAATAATTAGTTTTAAAAAGAAAATGAAATTTTTTTTAAAAAAATAACATTTACATTATAATTAAATAGGTTTAATTATATATTTTTGTATTTTTAATATCCTGAAATTAATATTTAGTTGGTATTCTTTTATTTAATATCTCATATATGATTTTAACAAATAGTAATTAAATATTTTAAATACGTTATTTAATTATATATTTATTTTATTCAATTAGGTGTATATTTTTATGTCACGCTTATTTTTTATTTAATAATAATATGTTTGTATCATTTTATGTTAATCTCTTTTTCCTTTTTTTTTCTTTCTTTTAATATATTAAAATAAAAAAGGCCCTTAATTAGTAGGCCTTAGAAACCTTACTTTTCTATTATGTTATATAATTTAATTGTGAGTTAAACAAGTTGATAAATTGTCACTTATGTTAATGAGCCTACATGTTTCGGTAAAATGGCTATACTAACTATTAAATTACTTACCCTTTAAAATATTTTTGTAAAAAAATTTAATGATATATCTCACTTGATAATTTCAAATATGATCCATCATCATGACACAAGATGACATAAAATTGCATAGATTTTAGTTTATAATTATTGTGTTTTGTATATTAATCATATTAATACATTTAAAATATGATGATTATGTATCTTAAACTCGCTTAATTTGTTTAAAACTTATTTAACTCGTTTAATTAATTAAGTTATCTGGCCAACTTGTATAATTTGACTCATACAACCCATTTATGAACTTGTTTAATACAAGTATTTAAAAGACTATTTAACTCTGTTAAAACGAGTTTAAACAATTAAATTTAACATGCTTAATGGATATAATATTTTGTTATAATTATTTTAAGATTGTTAATTTAAAATTTTAATAATGAAGTTACATGTTTTATTAACAAATATTTTTGAATGTAAACATGTTATTTTATTAAAAATTAATTTAAACAAGTTAGTCATTTTTAAACATATTATCAATATCATATAAAATTTAATCTAACATGTAATCATATCGTATTATGTAAAGTATTTAATAAACATAATTGTTTACGTTTTAATTCATTGACATATTTAATTAATTATGTTATTTTTATAGTTAGTTATATAATTATTAATTTTTTATGTTTAGATGATATAAATAAAGTAATTAAAGGACGTGAACACGAATTAGAATATACTCTAATCTTACCTTTATAAGATTTTCACAATTAAAACCTGCATAAATCACATGCATCATGTGAAAAATATGGGCCAATAAAAGGACCCAAAAGAAACATAGGCAGCTGAAAGGCTCTTCTTCAAGACTAGGAGAGATAGAATCCACGCTGCAGAAGAAGAGGCCCAACAACCGTCTGCGAGGACTGTGGAGAAATTCTACAGAATAAAACAGTTGAATTTTATACTTTGGTGTATTTTCTCATTTAATCTTAACGTAGGGATACATTAGCATGTGAGCCTTTAATCTGAATAATATGATGTCAATTACAATAATTGTTTTTGTTTTTGGGACTTTTTTTTACTACTCTTGCCTTATTAGCCTTGGCCTTTTATTTAAATTATCCAAAAATTTAAAAAAAAAACTGAAATAAATTACTGGAAATCGGAAACTGACCCCTGAAAATTACAGAATTTAAAACAGAACCCCAAGTAAAACCCCAAAAGGGTCATGAGCAAACAAATCTACCGATCCCAAAAAGCTAGCTTTCTCAGTCTCTCGCTCTTTTTTCTGAGGTAAGCGGCGAGAGAAGCCAAGACCACCCCCCATCCCACTCTCGTCTTTGCCTTCAATCAACAACACGCTCTGTTTAATCTTTTATTTTTCCTCTCATCAAGGGTAAGATTCACTTTCTTTTCTGAGATCTACAATTTATTTGATCTTAAAACATCTCACAGTTTTCTCTTATCGTTTTATTCTCAGATCTATTGATTTTAGAACTCGATCACTATCAACAGTTCTTTTATTTCCACAATTGATTGCATTTTATGTTGATTTTTAGGGTTTAAATTTGCTGATTTCATGTTATTATCAATTGCAACTTTTTTTTTTTGCTATTTTAGGATATCTAAGGCGTTTTTGGAAAAAGAAATTTGATTTTTTAAAATTGTTTTATGTCTTGTTTACGGTGCAGATTTGAGGTGAGAAGTTGATGGCGTCAAAGTTGCAGCAGTTGCAATCTAAGGCGTGTCAAGCGTCGAAATTTGTGTCCAAGCACGGAACTGCTTACTACAGGCAGTTGTTGGAGCAGAACAAGCAATACATTCAGGAGCCGCCGACAGTGGAGAAGTGCAATGAATTGTCTAAGCAACTCTTGTACACTCGCCTAGCTAGGTATTTGTTACTTGCGCCACTCTTTTTGCTGACTTGAAGACTTTGAATTCTGATAAATTGATTGTAATGTGTCGTTTAGTATCTGATTTCCCTTTCCTTATATCTTTTTGGCAATGTGTCAATATATTTTGCTTGCATTCTCGAGTTACTGAATTCGCCTGCATAAAAATTGACTTCTAAATGTATGTTAACGTGTTATTTATGTATTGCACCTATATTAATCATATACTCAAAATGTCAAAATGTCATGTTTGTTAGCCCTGTGTGACTGTGAGTTTATTGTTATCTCTTCCAGCATCAAAAGTTTTGGCAAGGAAGAAAAAGATAGTGAGATATGACTTGTATCACGTCTTTAGATGTCAAAGCTTTTGTTTGTAGAGCTCCTAAGATCTGAGTTCTAAAATAACAAAGTGATTGAAGTTTCCTCTGTTGAACAGACTGCCACAGAGACTAACACAGTGAAGGAAATATGTTGTAATTAGTCCAAAAAATCAATCAAGTTGATGCCTAGCAATATTTATCGGGCAGAAACCTAGTGAATTTTTGTTTTTGATAGAGTTAGCAACAAATAAAGTTGTTCTGCATGTAATTTTACTTTTGAATAACAACAATCACACAGTCATAATGTCTTTGGTCATATAGGTGTAAGTTGTCCACTGTTATTTTTAAGTAATGAGTATGGTGCTTTTATTGGTATCTACTAATTTTGTTTATGATACGAAAGTCTATGTAGTTGTTAGTAGAATTGGACAAATTGATAGTGTTTATGGCATGTTACTTAGGGCATAGCATTGTTAATCCTTGAGCATTGATGTTGGTTGTTTTAGGGGCTGCAAAATACTCACTTATAGTGTAATTTGTTCTTGATCTTCTCATATTTTTATATTTATGTTGCACTATACATGAATTTTACAGTTTTTCAGTACATCCAGGTGTTCCATGTTTTGGTTGAGATACAAAGTTTGTGGATGAAGCATGGGTGTTAGGATTCTGCTCCGTGAGAGATGAATTCTCTTTGTCATGTTAATAGGAAAGTTCTTGATGGTGATTGTGAGAGAACATTGGTCAATAGTACAACTTGGATTTAATGAAAGCTAGTGAAATTCTTGCAGTTGAGATTGGAAGACCTTCGATGATCTTCTGGCAGTATATGGAGAAGCCATTTTCTGGCAAATTCTCTGGAAAAACATTTTATTTTGTTACTTCTACCTCTCAGTATGTGACTCATGTTTGGGAGTTTCCCTGTTTCATCTCGAGAAGGATGGGAAGTGAATGAAAGCAGCTTTGCAACTTAATAGTAAATACATGAACTTTTTGAGTTCATGAGAACAAAATAATGAGACTGTGCCATTCTATTTAACATTCTGGAAATTTCAGTGACTGTGCATGTTATGTCCTATGAACTTCCGAAATGGAAGAGAATAAAAGAACAATGAAAATGTGGCTGGGTTTCTTATGATTGTGCATGTTGGAAAGAGTCAATGATAATGCTTCCATGTCTACTTGTGTGTTTATTTGCAATTTCCTCTTTGTTATATGCCATCTCACTAGAAACAGTTATTAGATTATTCTATGGAGGCAGAATACTGGTCAAAAATGAAAATCACCAGTGCATGTAACAATAACTCCTTTTGATGCAATTTTTGCAGTATCCCTGGTCGTTATGAGTCATTCTGGAAGGAGCTTGATTATGTCAAGAATCTGTGGAAGAACAGGCAAGAACTAAAGGTTGAAGATGCTGGTATTGCTGCTTTGTTTGGGCTGGAGTGCTTTGCATGGTTTTGTGGTGGTGAGATAGTGGGAAGGGGTTTTACTTTCACTGGTTACTATGTCTAAGGGTGATCACCTGGTGGAAGGACTTTCAGGGAGTTGGATGTGTGTGCCTTTATCGTCGTTTGCACGATTGAATTGCGGCCACTCTAGATGCACATTTTTGTTATTTCGTGAAATTTTTGAAGCTGAGAAATCAGTGGTTAACTTGATAGCCTGAATAAGCCTTTCTATTGTTATGTTATCTTCACAGAGAATTTACTGCAACCAATGATTGATGATAATGGTGCGAATCACTCTCAACTTATTTACACTAATCTTCCAATCTGTTGCTATTCCTAATGTTAACCAGCCAAATGTTGCTAAACTTTTAGATGTGGTTGGATAATCGATTCTAACAGTACAGGCCCTACCTTGACTAATAATATTTAACTAGTTTCTGTGATTCAGATTTCCTTGTAGCGTTTAACGGCTGTGGTGGTGCTTTTAACAGTTGGTGGCATCTGTCCTGGGATCGCCAATAGTCGCCCCGACATATGTTTATTATTTTAGTGGTTATATTGGCCAGATAAAGAGCTTTTCTGTCATTTGGGTTTAAGCTTATATCTCATCAAGGCCAGGCCATAATCAGTATAGTGGTAGTCACCGATCTATGTTTAATTCTTCAGTTTATTTGTCAATGAAGCTGCTCCCGAATCTTGATTTCGAATTTGAGCAATATAGTGCGGTGTGCAATATAGTGCGATGGATTTCGACCGGTATATGACTCTGAATTGGCATATGAATAAATACTAGAGCATCAATTGCTCTTGGTTTGATATTTGCCCCAAATGAAGATCAAAAGCTTTTTCTTTTCGGCCTGGAAAGAAGTAATCAGAAACCTAGCGCATCAAACTTTTGCTGCATTTCCTCCTCTTTTACTGACTGCATTTCACTGTGACCTTCAAAATAGCAATACTAAGATATATCTTGAATAAATATACAAATAAAGAAAGAAGGCGTAAAAGTCGATCGCGATTCGCGAGTGAATTGAATCCACATGCGAGCTACTGGTCCAGCCCATTGAACGGATTCCGCGCTGGCACTTGGCACCGGAGCTCCCAGTGCTTGGGAGGGGGTTTTTGGTAATTTCCTCATTTCCCTTAGTCGTTGCGCGGCTTTACCGCGCCCAAAAGAAAAGTAATGTTCGAAAAAATTGTTATGACGACGTGAATCATTCGGTCAACTCGAGGAAGAAGAAAAACTTGTATTGAACGACGAATCGGTGATAGGATGCCGTCCGGTGCTGTTATCCCTGCTCGGACACGTTTGTTAGCAGTGTTCGCCTTCGTCTTCCTCACAGGCTTGGCCGATTCCGTAACCAATGATTCCCAGGTATAATATTGTCAAAACCCTAGCTCTCTATTCCTTTTTCCAATTAAGTATGAGAATTCAAATGACCGAATCCAATTGTAAAATTTTCTGCTCTCTCCGTTTCAAAAATTAATTGTTGTAACAGTAATTTTATATAATTATGCAGGTAAAATGTAGCAGAACCTGCGTAGCTGAAAACTGTAATTGTGAGTTCCATCTTCTCTCTTTCGGGAATTACCTACTTGAGAATTCAACTAGGTTTTCTTTTCATTAAATCTTTTTCTTAACTAATTTCTAACATGGAATGAAGCGGTTGGAATCCGATACGGGAAGTATTGCGGGGTAGGGTGGTCTGGCTGTCCTGGGGAAAAACCGTGCGACGATCTAGACGCCTGTTGCAAGATCCACGACGAGTGCGTCGAGAAAAAAGGTCCCAATATTCTCTCGTCATTATATAATTGACATATTCACCACTCTGCCCACTTTTCCATTTGTAATTGTTTGCACAAGTTTCCCTTTCTCTGAGATTGTTTGATAATAATTAAGGTATAACAGAATACCGTAATGCTGTCGTTCTTTCACAGGTTTGATTAACGTGAAATGCCATGAGAAGTTTAAGAGCTGCATAAAGAAAGTACAAAAATCCGGCAAGGTTGGATTTTCTCGGAATTGTCCCATTGAAACAGCTGTGCCTACCATGGTGCAGGGTATGGATATGGCCATCTTATTGAGCCGCTTAGGCGGCACGAGGGTTGATGAACTCTGATTTCTCATCTTGTAATTTGAGAGAATTTGATTGGATTTTCTCATTTAACTGTAAATTATTCCATTTGATGGGAATTTTGATACGAGTATTTTTAATGAAGATTGAAGAACAAGAAATTTCTTTTTCTTGTTTGTCAAAAACAGCATCTACAGATTGGCCACTAATTGATGTTTGCCCCACAACCAACTGGATTGGCTAAAACTGACCTATCACCATTTGGTTTAGTAACCAAATGGTGCAGACTTTCACCTTACAAGTTTCATCGGACATAATGTCTTGTCAGCACGAATTTTTGAATAAAAATGACATTTATTTCCTTGGGAGGCTAATATTCGTAGCATTATCTGGCAAAAGAACATTGGCTTCTTCATTCCTAGGGAATTAATATGCGACTTGAATCCGTGCACATGATCACAAAACTTTGATATCTTAATCATCTAACATTACAAATATTTTTAGTAATTATTCAAAATATATTTATATCACTATAAATTCTATTAATTTTTTTACGTAATTGTTTATCTTATAATTAAAATTGATAATTACGGTAATGTGACCTTACCTTTTAAATAGTGCATCTTATAAATTCCATTTATTCTATTAATTATCTATGGATTACATTTTCGTATCATTAAAATGTAAGAACAAGAAGTGTTATGATAGAAATCCAAAAATATAAATGCATACTTGTAAACGAAATGGAAAACATACTTTTCTTGCAGTATTCAAAAAAAAAAGAAGAAGAGAAGTCTTGGAATTTGTATCCTTATTTACTGTGAAAATAAAGTTGATCAACCATGAATAGGGTTTTATATTTAAACATTTAATTTATTAATTAATATATTATTTTTATATTTAAAGAATAAAATTCGAATTTTACTCCTTTTAATTATATATATATTAAAAAAAAAAAACCATGAGTAGGGTTCTAAGAAGTTACTTGGACTTATATTCCTTACCCATGGTTTTGATAGAAAATCATGCCAATATAAAGGAAACTCAAAGGGGCAATCTGGTAAATCCAGAATGTGAATATCCCTGTGCCCTCTCTTAATCAAATGTTGACCCACACCTTTTCTTACGCGATTTCCCAATTTGAGTGTTCTAATCAGATTCGTTTCCTGACAAGCACAAGAAATTAAGCAATAGGAAAAAGGGCAAGGAGGTTTATTTTTTGAAAAGAAAACGGAAAAGGCCGAGAAGAAAAGTAGGAAATTCAATTTCCGCGAAAGTCCAAGCGATTCGTATAACTTTCTTCATCTCTAGCATCCCAAAGGTTCCGTTTATGATCATCGCTTGAATCGATATCACATCTCACTTTCTACGGCCCCTTGCAAAATAAAAAGAAAAAACCTTTTAATCCTTTCCACTCCCTTATTATCGATTTATCTGACTCGCACCAAAAAAAGAAAAAAAAATGCTTCACAGGAGCTTCAAGCCGGCCAAATGGTAATTCTTTTTCTTAATTTTAATTGTTTTATCGATTGAATTTTGGGTAGTTTTTCGATTGAAGACGAAGTGATCGTTTGACTTTGTTTGAAGTTTTGATTGGTTTTGGTTGTTTGGATTTTGATTTGATGCAGCAAGATAGCTTTAAAGCTAGCGATACCGCGAATAAAGCTAATGAAGAACAAGAGAGAAGCACAGGTGAAGCAGTTAAAGAGGGACTTGGCTCAATTACTGGAGTCAGGGCAGGATCAGACGGCCAGAATTCGGGTATTCAATTTGATCAAAGTTTTATAATCTTGACTTTGTTAGTATTTGTGGTATTAATTTTGGGTTTTTTTTTTCCAGGTTGAGCATGTGGTTAGGGAAGAAAAGACTGTGGCAGCATATAATCTTCTTGAGATATACTGTGAACTTATGGTGGCACGTATGCCGATCATTGAAGCCCAAAAGTGTGTAAAAATACTTTCTTTAGTATTTTGTATTTTGATTTTATTCTTCTTTGAATGTTTTGCTAGAGATGCTTATGGAATTAGGGAAACTTTCACTGAGTTTGCAAATGTTTGAACAAACAGAGGAAAATAGACCACCATTGTTAAAGCAATTGGACTTGGTCTTTAAAACTCATAAGTTGCCTCAATCGCTGGGGAAAGTCACATTCAATCCAACTGCCAAAAACTACTTTTGATTTGAACTAAGTGGCTTTCCATTAGAGTGTAGGGCACCTCTTTATTTCGTTGAAATTAAATAGCTGGGCATGCGTGCTTAAATGCATAAACAGATAAACATGTATGGATGGAAAAACGTATACTGGCTGGTTCATTGAGAGATGGTTTTATAATTCTTTGGGTCTTTCTGCCAGACTAAATTTTGTCGATTGTTATTGTTTTAATTACTTTGGGTTGTATGTTGCTTACTTGAATTTTCAGAAACTGCCCCATTGACTTGAAGGAAGCAATTTCAAGTGTCATATTTGCATCTGCGAGGTGTGAAGAGATACCAGAACTCAAGGATGTCTCCAAACATTTTACAGCAAAATATGGAAAAGAATTCACTTCTGCTGCACTTGAACTGCGTCCTAATTGTGGTGTTGGTCGTATGGTGAGTTTGAACAGAAGGTCTACTCATGAATGAACAATAGTTGAAATGTAATAATCTGCATATTAGATCAATCTGAAGTTTGATAGTGGTGTTATTGACCGATGCTTATGTTGTTTCTTTCAGTTGGTTGAGAAATTATCTGCGAAAGCACCTGATGGTCCAACCAAACTAAAAATTTTGACTGCAATTGCTGTGGAGCACAACATCAAATGGGACCCTGAATCATTTGGAGCAAAAGAATCAAAGCCTTATGATGACTTGCTGGTAAGACTAGTATAGTGCACAAAAGGTTATTTTTGTTTGACGTGCCAACAATATAATCTCGCTTAGGATTCTCAGAGAAATATTCAATTATGAAGTGGTTGTATATTGTTATTTGTTTGTCAAAGATTGAAGAATTTGCTCAACAACTTATGTTCTTTCCATATAAATTTGCTTGTGCAGAATGGACCTAATACTTTCACAGAGGCCTCCAAAACTTTGGCAGATTCTCCTAATGCCCAAGCTTCACTCAGTCACTATGAGCAGAGACTTCCAGGTGTTCAAGTTCCTCATTATGATAAGGGACCTCCTAATGTTCAAGCTCCACAACACATTGAAAAAAATGATGCGCCTGCAAGCTTCTATGAGCACAGCTCGATATCATCTTCTCATCCTAAGAATTTTCAGTATTCAAATAGTAGAGCTGATAAGTCAATGTCCTCTGGAATTTATCCTCCAAATTCAAAACCTGATGGTATGTTAATTATTAGATTCAAACATACTGATTTATCAACTCTTTGTGTCTTGTTGTCTTTTTTTTTTCATTTAGTTTATTCATTTGTCTGTTAATTATTAGTATATATTTGGGTGCTCTGTTTTGCAGGAACTAAAAATCAAGGGATTGAATTTAGGAATTCATATTCTGGGAATGAGCATACTTTCTCTTCACCTAGGCAGCATTGGAATATGGAATTCAGGGATGCTACTGCTGCTGCCCAGGCAGCTGCAGAATCTGCAGAGAGAGCAAGTATGGCGGCCCGAGCTGCTGCTGAACTTTCAAGCCGCGGAAATATGTCCCACCAGTATTCAACAGAATCACACATATCATCTGCTCAGGGTATGAAAGATGGGGAGCAAAAGTATGCTGGCTTAGCATCTCAAAATGAACATCTTGCTGGACATCCAGTTGATATTTCCCTTCATGGAAGGAATTCTAGGAATTATGAACAAACCGACAGCAATGAACAACATAGCTGGGCAGAGGAGGCTGAAAATGTTTATAGTAACATTGTGAGGAGCGGTGATAAATCTACTCAAGGTTCCTTTAAGTCGACTGCAGCTTCCTTCAATGAAAAACCATCAGTGAATAATCAAACTGCAGATGCATATTCTCAAAGAAACTCATCTGAAGGCAGGCGGATGGAGCATTTTGCTGAATTGAGTATGAAGAGAAACTCAGGCGAAAATGGGATGCAATTTGTGAATGAACTGCATGATATTAAGAATCCTCAGAGTGTTGATTATTATGAAGTCAGGGTCAGGGAACAATCAAGCACTTCTTCTTCTCTTTCTCAATCAAACACTTCTACTGATGATCATGATGTTGTCCGTAATTTAAATTGGCAGAAGTCAGAAAATTTTAAGGGAAACTCAGGCGAAACCGGGGCACAATTTGTGAATGAATTGCATGATACAAAGAATTCAGAGAATGCTGATTATCATGAAGTAAGGATCAGAAAGCAATCAAGCTATTCTTCGTCTCATTCTCGTTCAAGTACCTTTTCTGATGATGATGATGTTTTATCCAATTCAAACTGTCAGAAGTCAGGAAATAATTCTGGTGATGATTCTTTTCTTCTCAATGATAAAGGAAGCGTTCAAAGAAGCACAAAAGAAACAACAGATTCTTATGACAATGCCTCAGCAGTTTTTGATGATTATGGATCAGATAATGATGGATGTAATTTTGATTTGGAGGAAGAGCATAAGGTACGTGAATACAGTATGAACTTTTCATCTCCTGGTCAAAGATCACCTACTCATCCATTTACAAGTATAAATTCTTGGAGCATTGAGCAGAATGTTGAGTCATCTGCAAAGCCCATTTCACAGTCGCATATTTTTTCAGAGCAGCAGTCTACTCCTGTCTTCTTTGAAAGTTCAACTAGCTCTGCAGTTCCTTCACATGGAGATGACTTGCCCATGACTTTTGATAATTACGGCACTAGTTCAGAAAGTGAAGAGGAGGTAGACAAATCTAATTTTGTTAGGAACACTGATCCTAGTATAGGTAGTCATAAAAGGATTATCAGTTCCCACCAAGCTGAAAACGGTATTTTCACTCCACTGTCAGCTGAAGGCATGGAAGATACTGAACCTTCTAAAGATTCTAGACTGGAAGAAAGTAAGGAATTGAACCTTGGAAACTTGACAGGTGGGCTTCGAAATAAGGGTTATAGGCATCTACTACCATATTCAAAAATTCAGCAAGGCAATGCTTTATCCCCTATAGAGGCAGCCAATCCTCCATCTACCAGAAGTAAGCAATCATCCCCTCCTGCAGCAGTGGAGGCTTCAGTTAGTTCTCGATCTTACAGTCAAGAGCCACACAGTCAGAAAGGGGGTGTAGAAGTGAATAGAAAACTCAGCACGAGAACATCAGTTACTTATGTCGATTCTAGTGATGATGACTCTGAGGAGGAACAACCAAAACAAACTTTTAGTAGCACTCAAGACCAATACGACAAAATTCCAAGCTTTGAAGAAAATAAAAGATCAAGCTTAAGGGCCTCTGTCCCATATTTTGGTTCAGGAAATAGTGATTTTGATGAGGATCTTCCTAAAACAAGTTTAAGTGCTCGTTCAAATGCTGGTTTTTCTCGTAGGACAAGGGCCTCTCCTTCCAATTCAAGGAGAAGTTCCAATCTTAAAACTACAGTTTCCTCTGAGCCACCAGTAGTTTCTGACTATGGTAGGGAGAAGAATTCCTCATCAAGGAGTTATAATGCTGATGAAGCTCTACCCAAGACTCAGCCTCAGAAAAAGTACTCAGATCACTGGGAAAGTTTTCAGCATCCTCGATCAGCGGCACAAGCAACTTCAAAGCTGGTTTCAGATACCAACAGGTCTTCATTTGATGTAAGTTTGAAATCATCAGAAAAGGAACAGCCATCCACTTCTGTCCCAAAGATTATATCATCAGGTAGTGCCAAAAGTTTGAAGGCTCAAACTTCAATTGGAGCGGGACCATCGAGGGAGAATGCTAGTCATGTTCACCCAAAGCTTCCTGATTATGATACCTTGACTGCACACTTAAATTCTCTCAGACAGAATCGCTAATGAATGTAGGTGCTTTTGGCATTCTGATAAGATGTGTTACATTATCACTACTAGTTTCTATGCGCATGTTTATACAGGTTCTTTTTGAGGTTTATAGGAATGTGAAATATAACATGTCCAACTAGAAGCAAAATATTATTTGTTTATTGATTTGTTTGATATACTTCTTTGTTTTGGAACTTGCTGTAATAAATAGAGATTGGAGAATCGAGTGGAATAAGTTTCTCAGGCTGAGTTTTGGTGGTTCAGTGTTGTGTTTTTGGCTTATATTAGCATGCAATATCATCAGTTTTTTCGGACATGAATATGTGAAGAGAGTAATATTAGCCATTGAGCATGATGTCTATATGAACATGATTTAAGCGATTATGCCCTCTAAATCATTTGCAGCCATGGCTTCTGTGTGAAATTCCTGCCTTTGCTCGAGCAATTTAATGTTATCCAGGGATGCTATAAAATCTTGTGGAAGGGTGCAAGGGCTTTCTTAGTGTCCTCTACCTTGACTTATTGGGTAAACCAGGCATCATTCTCTGATGACCGAGGCTGTACCAAAGTTGATAATGTTTTTGTTAAGGTGTAGTTTCAATGGCTACTTCTACTGCCTAATAAACTTTTGGCGTGTACAGAACTTTAAAACAAATAGTAGATTGAGCTAGTTCACTTGTTGTAACTCATGCATCTCGATTCTTTTGCTTAATTTTTACAGTTTTTTCTTTCTTTTTATTTAACTTTTTTTCTATAATACAAATGCTGCAGAATCAAATGTCTCCTTTGTCAAGGGTTTTATTGTGAAAGAAATAGATTTACAGTAAAATATTTAGTCACTTTTAAATTTTGATTAAAATTACATAAAAATTCATTGATTTATGAAAGATATTCTACTTCAAAAGAATGCCTGTCATCGAACTCATAAGTCCAATCTTTAGAATTATAATAATATTTTAAAGATAATTTTACCTTTAAATATGTCAAAAATTATAATATTATATAAATTTTTATTTTTTAAAAAAACTTACCTTTCAAGCTAGATATAACCGGATCCGCATATATCAAATTAGATCTGGTCGGAAAATGTCAAATTTGATCAGATCTGGCTTGGAAATAATTTTTTTTAAAATAAAAAATAAAAAATATTAATCTTTTTATTTTTTCTGTTAACGATATTAAAGTTTTTGGAATGAAGTGTCTATTTTTCAAATTAATGAACTTTTATATACTTTTGATTAAAATTTTGAGATGTCTAGATATTTTACTCAAAAATTTAATTACCTTGCATAATTAATCATTAATTTGAAAAAAAAAAGAAAAAATCCTTATCATTTGACATTTACATTGAACTTTTGCCTGTATGGGCACCTTCACAAGATCAGGAAGAATGTAAAGCTCGTGGGTTCCTACTTCCTAGCTAGTGCGTTTTTCTCATGATGTGATAAACTGTAGAGAAAAAGAAATTTTTGATAACCTCCTCGTAATTAAAGGTTAATATATGTACTTATCAAAAATTTAAATATTTGATGTAATGATAGATATATATATTTTTAATTTTTTTTCTTAAATAAAAATAAAAACAGAAAAATGCGTTAAATTAAGTTAGAGAAAAATACTTGAGAATAAAAGAAAATTAAATTGAATAAATAATTTATTTATTTAAAATTTTAAAGGACATGAAGGTGGTGTGAGCTTAATCAATTTATTTTTGTATATTAATACACATATATTTAGCATCATCTGCAAGCTCTCTAAGCTTTCATCAGACTTTTGCATGATCCATATGATCAGTTGTTAGGCTAAGAAACTACTAAGGTATACCCTTCTTTCCTCCTTCAACATTCTTGTTAGAGTTTTAATTTATTAACCTTATGAATTCCTACGACTTTAATAGCACAGTAACAAAATTGTGTCCTTGTTTCTCAAGCACGTCGTTGCAGAGAATGGAAAATGCCCCGAATAAATCACTTCTCGAGCATAATAAAGGGTTGTTGCAGAGTATTGACTTGTATGAGGTATGTCTCATCAATTCTTTCAATGTATCAGTTTATGCAGTTTTAAGTGATCCTTTATGAAGAAATGAAGCGAAGTTCTTATGGGGTAAATTTATGTGACAGTATATCTTGGAAACCAGCGTGTACCCTAGGGAGCCAGCACCTCTCAAGGAGCTCAGGATGGCTACTGCAAACCATCCATGGTAAATCTTTCTTTATTGACTGTTTTATCGAAATTAACATGAAGAAACGATAACATTCGTTTTCAAACTGTGTGATTGCATTTTGATTATCTGCAAAGCAGAAGAAACAATTCCAAGGTATTTGCCAAGGACACTGATAGCCATATTTTTTTTTCCAGGTTCTTCATGAGTACTGCACCCGATGCAGCTCAGTTAATGGGGATGCTCCTTAAGATAGTGAATGCAAAGAAGACAATCGAAATTGGTGTTTATACTGGGTACTCTCTTCTCCTGACAGCTCTTTCAATCCCAGATGATGGCAAGGTATTTGCACTGCACCTCTCCATTGCATTGTCTCTGATAAGTCTATTTGCCATAATCTCCTTATACATCAGCAAAATTCATCTTTGCAGGTTCTAGCCATAGATATAAACAGGGAAACATATGAGATTGGTCTGCCCATTATCCGAAAAGCTGGTGTTGAACACAAAATCGACTTCATCGAGTCCCAAGCTATACCAGTTCTCGACAAGCTTCTAAAAAATTTAAGCACTAAATATCCACCCTATAAAGCTCTATTCCCATTTTGTATTACAATTCTCGAACTCCAACGAGTCAAGCTCATTTTCTTCTTTGTTTTTTTATTTCATCAGAAAGAGAATGAAGGGAGTTTTGATTTTGCATTTGTTGATGCGAACAAGGATGATTACATGAATTATCATGAAAGAATTTTGAAGCTAGTGAAGGTTGGTGGCCTAATCATCTATGACAACACTCTCTGGGGAGGCACGGTTGCTCGACCTGAAGAGGCTGTTTCAGAAGACAGAAGGGATTCCAGGAGGTCCATAATCGAGTTTAACAAATCCATTTCAACTGATCATCGCCTGGAAATCTCTCTTGCTCCATGGGGTGATGGGATGACCATTTGCAGGCGCATTTGCTGATGTTCTTCTTCACTTCTCCCAAAGATCTTGAAATAAATGAAAGCATGTTGGAAGATCCTACTATTTACTGACAATAAGCATCAGAACACTCAGATGAAAATAAGATTAGTACAAAAGTTGAATCACATTTCACTTTGGGTGAGTGGCAAGGAACAAACGACGTGTCACGATGTTATTCTATCTTATTGCCCACTCCCAAATTTATTCCCGCTTTAGCCAGACAAAGAAAAGAATTAATGTTGAGCTCTCGTTCTTATATGCATATGTGGCTGCAGTCTGACATGTCACGTCGCATTGTCACGTCGTTCTTACAAGCTTTAGTACAGGACCTCACGGGTTTAGACCGAAAACAACCCAAACTTTTTATTCACCAAAACAATTTCTTTTTGCCTTATTTGTCTTTTCACGAATTGAGACAATTGGGATCATCGACGTTTTCCTGATCGCTGCTATCTGAATCGGCAATAAGGGTCGAAGCCAGCACCTTGTTCACATCTCCAGGGTAATCTATCTCTCAATTATTTTAGTCTGGATTTAACACTATGAGATTTCTCCTGCTGTGAAGGCTATTATTAGATAGCTCAACTTAATCAAATCTAATCATCTTGATAACCTTTCACACCAAACGAAACTTTCTGTTGATATACGGGTTCATGTTCTTTTCGTCTTTATCTATGTTTCAAAGTTTTGAACTTTGTATCTGCATATTAGTAATTCTTGTCCAAACAGGAGCCTTCTAATTTTTCATTTGCCACGGGACTCAAGGATCGACTCGCTTGCCCTTTTAATTATGAACTTCACGTTTCTGTTGATATGTTTATGCGGATAATTCAAATTGAAACGGAAAACTTTTGGTTGGTTTATTTGTGAAAGGTTATTGCTTTTGGGAATGAGGATTTTTGATAAGGAATGGCCAATGATTAGGATACTTTTGGGGATTTATTGACTTGATTGGACTAATGTAAGCTGTTACTTGGAAACACCGATTAACAAACATTGGTTTTCCTTGAAAATTCGAAGTTAAGTCACTTTTGATCTGTAGCAAATGAATGTGTAGGATAGGTAAGTCCTGTTCTGTTTTCTCACAACTACTTTCTGGACCTAAATCTGATCATGTTTTTCAACTGTAACTAATATTTGTAACTCTAAAATGTATTTTCATCGAATTATACATATTGAATCTGATCAAATTGTGTTGCCTCCACACAACTTTGGGTTGCCATTCGTTAATTTATGTTCCAATTAAAACCTTGACTGATAATATTAGTTGCTCTATTGATGCTATATGTGGTCTCATAAATATTGGACTTGAATCATGAATGCTAGTGGTGACTATGACTCCCAATTTTTAAACCATGTCACAATTGCATTTCCTTTCCTAGCAATTGTTTTCTATCGTAAAATGTGAGTTATTGGTAAAAACAGTTTGAGAGCTATGGATAATGAAAAGAAAGAATCAACAAGTTTCAGTAAGGGATTACTGCAGACTGAAGAACTTTATCAGGTATGATATAACTCTCAATCATTTTATTTCTTATTCTGTTGTTTAGATTCTTAATACATACTACAATAATGTGACAGTATATCCTAGGGACTAGTGTGTATCCCCGTGAATCAGAGCACTTGAAAGAGCTAAGGGATATCACTGCTACCCACCCAAGGTAATATATTACTCTTCACATTCATTTTAGTTAAAATTTTATTTTTTTTGACTACCGCTCTCATTTTCTTGGTAATTGACTCAAACCAAAGTAGATTCAGTAACAGGGTGAAACCATTGGCTCTAATCTTAGTTTCCATATTGGAGCTGTAAAAACCAATAATTAAACTCATAACTTGTGGTTCTTAAAATGATTCAGTTCAGAGGGCATAAAGTCCATAATCAGAGCCCTTAAAATCTCAACAACTATGAAAATTGATTTGTTTCTAGACCCCTTAACCAATGGAGCCAAAGACAATAAATGGTATATTTACAACTAGATAACCATGTACTCTGTTAGCTTCTATGGTGAAGTGATTGTCTTTGACTTTGTAGCATTTTATCCAGCAGCATAATTAACTTGTTACCTTCCAGGGCTGTAATGGCTACTGCACCTGATGCAGGGCAGCTAATTGCCTTGCTCTTGAAGCTAATAAATGCAAAAAGGACAATTGAAGTTGGAGTTTTCACTGGATACTCTCTTCTTCTTACTGCTCTTACAATTCCTGAGGATGGCAAGGTAAACAATCCATCGATCCTATAAAGACTAATATCTTAGTCCATAAGTAAACAGTCCGCATATGCACCTGTGTAAAATAACATGCAAGTATCCCCTGATTTCCTTTAAGGGATTTTTTACTCATTCCGTATGAAACTGTCTTGAAGACCATTTACTTGATGTTCTCTATACTTTTTTAACTGTGCATGTTAGTGCAGATTGTAGCCATAGATATGAATCGAGAGGCATATGAGATAGGGTTACCAATTATCAGAAGAGCTGGTGTTGATAACAAAATTGACTTCATAGAGTCTGAAGCTTTGCCTGTCCTTGATCAGCTTCTTGAAGATGTAAGGATTCCTTCTTAGTTGTCCAAGTACAAAAATCATTTTATGTTCCATAAGTTCTACATTTCCTTGCTTAGCATCTTGCATTTGTCATCCAAATCAAGATTTTTGCTAATATTTCACTTTTATATTATGGAGGGTAATTCTCATTGTGGGGTTGTGGATCTGTTGCAGCCTGGAAATGAAAACGGCTTTGACTTTGCTTTTATTGATGCTGACAAGATCAATTACTGGAACTACCATGAGAGATTGATGAAATTGGTGAAGGTAGGTGGGATTGTTGTATATGATAACACACTGTGGGGAGGAACAGTTGCATTGTCTGAAGAGAGCACTCCAGAGGCAATGAGAGAGGGCAGGCAGAGAACACTGGAGGTTAACAAATTACTTGCAGCTGATTCTCGTGTCCAAATTTCACTTGCACCACTGGGTGATGGTATCACAATTTGTAGGCGTATTCTCTGAATTCTTGAAGTTATAAATTGTTATGCTCGACAAAGCTATGCCATTGCACTTGTTTATAGTTCTTCTCAGCCTCAGAAGTATCAGTTTCAGTTTCAATGACTGCTGTATCAGTGACTCTTCAACCAATGAATGTTCATATTCTTCAAAGTTAATCATCATTGTTTAATTCTGCTTAATTCTTGTATTATTTTTGATAATATATATTCACTGCATTGTTTTGATACTGCACTTTTGGATGTTCAAAAAAAGAATCTGCACTCAGATGTGTTAAGCCATTAATGTAGCAATAGATATATGCCATTCTCCTTGGAGCAAATGTTTATGCAACCAGCCGAGGAAAAGCAATAGTTGCATCACAGTCTACCTGGTTGAAACCAATCAAGAGGGAGAAGAATCAGATTTTGCATCTACTGCACTTTCGCATGCCATAACAATTCCAGTTGAACGCTGTGTTTTCATTTCCTCCATGACACAGCCTCATCTGGGTACTGGCTCCAGAATTACTCCCATTAAACTCCTGAGCTATGTTGGTTCAGAAAGCATAATCCGTACCGTTAAGAATCATATATATTAGCATTGTAAATGTGATGAGTTTAGCCGTCCACCACCTAGACCTACATTATGCCTGTTTCCTTGGACCTGCACGGACAGCTTCGCTATGTATTCATAGCCCTGCTGTCTCTATTTCAAACCAGTCAGCTAGATTTGCAGATTTATATCGCAAGCCGTCATGCAAATTGCAATGACGCTGAGACAAAAGTTCAGCTGCCTAGTACTATTTCAACTATTACACCAAGGCTGATGAAGGAATGAAATATACAACATTCAAGAGTAAAATATTGGTCAACCTATGGGAGACCGAGTTTACAAAATAATTGGAAACTATTCAGATCTTTGAATTGCTTGACCGGCAATCTGAAAAAGAATTCCAGCAAAGGAGAAATAACTTCTATTGCTAAAAGGGGGAAAACAAAGATTCCTTTACGTTTAAATAGTACTAGCCCCAACTTAAAAGCATTTTTGTTTCAAATTTGATATCATACATTTTCTCTTGGGGTGGTGGAGCTGAGTGAAACATAATTACTTACTTCAACCATTTTGAACTAGAATCTTAGCAAATACTAATGGTGTTACAATAAATATGGGGCATATCAGAGGTGGAAAGCCTTCATTGGCACACCACCTGTGGCACTTCAAAATTTGAGACAAATAATGTTTGCAGCATCAAAATTCTAAAATGATATTTACACTTATCTGAAATCAAAATACTGAAAAAATGACAGTAGCTAAAAGTACTTTTCTCTGCAAAAAGAGCAAGGTTTGCTTTTGTAGTTCAATTATTACAAAAATCAGAACTAATTGAGGCATTAATCCAAAAGTTACATTCCAGCATTTGATATTTAATGATACAAAATTCAGATAAATATTGAATGAAAGTTCACAGATAACCCAGAGCTTAAAGTAGTAGTCTTCTCTTTTTCCCCATCTAAAAGAGCGTAGAAAGACAGACAAGTCTAATGAAAATAACCAAGAACCTGCCCACCCACATTCCTACTGATGGCTTCTTCATGATCCAAAATACCATCTGGAGTTGAAATCACAACATAACCCCACTGCAAATAAGATTATTAAAGGACAAGGTAAGTATTAAACTATAAAAGATTGTCATCTCATGATATGAGGGATTATACAAACATAGCTGGTATATTTGCTTTCCTTCTAGCCAGCACTTTCTTCACAAAATTATGGCAATGAATAATTCAAACACTCAAAATACAATGACTTTTAACAAACCTGATGTGTTGGAAGTTTAAGTTTTGTGTACTTTTCAATATCCTTTGCTTTGATGTCCTGCCTGTAAGTGAGTGCCTTGCAATCATTTACCCTGCCTTGCAGTTCAACTGTTATCCTCCCCACTCTATGAGGATCATAAACCTCAAAATTCTTGATGTATCCTTCCAAAAAGAAAAATTACAAAGAAGGTAATGACACAGCAACAAGCAAAAGATTCAACAGTGGGCAGTAGCCACAAGTCTAAATATAAAAGACATCTAGACTTTTAGCCTCTTTAGTCCCTAAGATTATAACCGTGCCGATGCATCACACACAGCCCTATGCTTAATGGTTTCCAAAAACAAAGCTCTATTTGACAAAAAGCAAGAAGAAATTTCTCAGAACTCCAATCCACGCCATATTGATGAAATAAAAGGGCACACAAACATAAAACCGTGAAATCTGGTAATGAACTGAACAGCCCAACCTGTTACTGAGTTTCAAGTAAAGTTGAAAATCAAATAGAATCGCAAAGGAAGATATTATTTTCATAAAAATTCTGCAGCTATGAAAGAAATGCCCATTGCCCTTCAAATTCATACTGGATTAGGTAACTCAAGTGGCAAAAACCGATTAACCTTCACATGTTAAGATTATAGGTCCAGTTTAAGAGTGAACCAGTGGCTTAGAGCATCCAAAATTTTATATCACACAAAACTTCAAACCAATAAAAATGAGTGTAACCAAGTAAAGAAATATACTATATAAGTTAATTCTTAGACACACATAAGCATAAGCATACGCATTCACTGCTTGGGCATCAGATAACACTAATTTTCCGCACAATGAAGATCCGATTTAAACATTACAGAGAAGTTCAACGAACAAGAAGCAAATTTCTAAACTTTTTTACTGGGTCACTACGACCATAACTAATCCTTGAGATTAATCAATAACAATTTAAAATCGAGCAAAAATTCATTGTTATTAACCAAAATAACCAAAACCCATTAGCAAAACTACGAATTAAAAAAAATAAAAACAAAAAATAAAGAAGCTTACCTCGATATTTCATGATCTTGAGAAAGGAAGACATGACGGTGGAGATTGGTCGTAATTCCACCGTCGCTTTGCCCCTCCTCTCTGCATTCACAATTGTCCTCAACGCATCGTTCAGTATCCTCCTCCCCATCTCTCTCTCAAGCCAGTTCCCAAAGCTAGCCGGCTAAACCCCCAAATGACGGCCTAAACCTCCGTTTCAATCGCATTACATTTTAAAAATTCTATCATATCATTTAGGGGTATTACTGTAATCTAACAGATACCTAAAATGGCATTTTGGCTATTACACGAAAATACGTGGTCATTTCGTAACTTGGCCAGATTCTGAATGGTTGTAAAGACCGGTAAACCATTTGAAACAATTCTAACATCTTCCAAATCTGCAGTCTTGTTATTTTTTTTTTTCCACTTCGTTTTCGCAGATGGAGGATCTACCACCACCTCTTGTCGTGGAAATCCTGAATCGACTCACCGATTCCACCGACCTTGCTCGGTGCCGACTCGCCTCCAAAACACTAAACTCCCTCTCACACGAGGTCCGTTCTGTTAACCTCCTATGCAATTTGTCTCGCTACCTTAAATCCCGTTTGCCGGAGACCAAGGCCCACGTCACTCCTTTCAAGGCAATCTTCAACAACCTTGTCCGCGAATCTCGATGTCTTAACTCAGTGTCGATCGGAGTCGATAAGTCGCTCAGGGAAATCTCGTACGATGACGTGGATGACGAGTCGGATGATTTGTACTTGACCGATGTGGGGTTTGTGAAGGAGTGGTTGCCGACAATTTGCGGGGAGCTAAGGAAGTTGTCGATTTCGGATTTTTGGATCCAGTCTTGCTGGAGGAAATCTGATGTTTTGAGCTTGATTTCTTCATGTTGTAAGTTCCTCGGCCGTTGCCATTTCTTTCGTATTTTAGCTTTGAAAATAGGACAATTAGTTTGAAATTGAGCTTAATTGAGTGGTTGTAAGGCAAATGGGGGGGTTTGATTTAATGTTGGAAGGCAATTAATTTGCTTTAAAATTATGAGAAGTGGGACTATGAAAGATGGTTAAGCACACCTTGTGAAATGAATTAAGCATCAATTTTAAATTTGTTACCTTAAAGGCTATAGCTTTTCTTTTTTTGTTAATTCATATTGTATCTTATGCAAAGGCCATTGGTCTTGTTTTGTGTCTGTAGGCAATAATCTTATGGAACTAGAGCTGAAGAATGCTTGGCTTTCAGTTGATGGATTGAATCCGATGACTAGGCTTACAAATTTGACACTTGAGTTTATTAGGCTTGAGGATGAGGACCTAAGCAAAATTAATGATTGCTTTCCTTCTCTTCGAGTTCTGAATTTGGTTGGTGTTGGAGGACTTAAAGATCCGAAGATTCATCTCTTGCATCTTCAAGCCTGCTTATGGACAGTCTCAAATGCTCCGCTTTCTTTGACTATCTCTGCTCCCAACCTGGTGAGCCTCAGACTGAAATGTGTTAAGCCAAAATCACTTGTACTTGATACCCCATTGTTGTCTGATTTCCATCTTTCAGTTGAGGAGGTGTATGATTTTAGAGTGAAAGAGTTTTGTAATTTGGAAAACTTTCTGCTTGAATCTTCAAGTCTTTGTAGCCTCCTTGGCATGTTTACGTCTGGGAAATCAATTAAGAAGCTGACAGTGGATTCTCTCAAATGGAATGAAGCTCTTGAAACAAGAAAATTTGGCTTGGAAGCATTGTTTGATGTGTTTCCGAATGTAATATCTCTTAATTTAGGCCCTGGGGCTTGGTCAGAAGCAGAGATTTGCTTTCGCAAAGGAGGTTTGAAAGATAGGAATGCAATGAAGGAGTTGACAGAGATTGTGGCACATTTAGTTGTGTACGATATTGAAGTTACCCTCTCATTTATTTACTCTATCTTGGATAAATGCACCAACTTATCAGACATGGCATTACTCCTCCACCCTAAAGAAGATTCTAGAGCTGCTAGTAGCCTCATCTCTATGTGTACAACTTATGGTCCTAGAGTAAGATGGAGATGGGGAATGTGGAAGGAAGGATCAAAAGATACCTGGGTCTCTGTTGGCATTTAATTTGGTAATCCTCCTTTCTTGGAAGGAAATAGGACTGCTTAATCTTTTGTACTATCTGTCTGTTGTTTCTCTGGTTTAACCTTCCCAATGAAAAGCAAGGCTCTTTTTCAGCAACCTAAAGTAGTTAGAACAAGAATTGTGTCTGTAGATGTACAAAAAGTTTAGTTTTATAGAGACACTGGCAACTATATCACCTGTACAAATTAATTAGTTAGTTGCTTGGAAAGTGAAAGCATAATGGCTTGCAGTATTGCATACATGTCTGGCCTTCTACAGCCTAAACTTCACAGATGGGTTCTTACATCTTCTGAGGCATCTCTGTCCTGAATCCTACAGCAAATTCCATTGGTTTTAAGTGACTGCACAGTTTAGATGAATAACAAGAGTTTTTAACACCAACTGCCTCAGTATCCTGCCTTCCAGCAGAAGGAAAGAGAAAAGGGGAGAAAAGAGGAAAGAAAACCAAGCATCACCGAGCTTATACTTGGTTGTGTCGTAAATGTGCGGGTTTGAAAACTCGATTGCTAGACATGAAAAACTATAAAAAGTTGTCATTAATTTTTTTTTTATTTAGGTGTGATTGGTCACTCGTTAAATTTGTTCTATTCGACGAAATATTAAATTAATTTTAAATTCGTCTAAAAAACAATGAACTAGTCTATGCATTTTAAAATTGAATTTGAGAGTACGGTTACTCACGAGGAAAGCTTAACACTTTTGTGGTGTCCGTTTCATTAACTATATTATTTAATCATATATTATCCTATTATAGCCTAAATCATTGATTTTATTCCTATGTTTTCTCAATCCTTGTTTACTTAATTAATTCTTTATTATATTAGCAAATTAAAGCTTTTTATTTAATTTTACGAGTGTACATGATGTAATTATAAAATGATGTAATGATGTACTAATTTTAAATAATGATCGTAAATCATTTCAACACTTTGATGAAGTTTCGAAGTTTTTCTCACCTAGAGATATTTTGGAAGAATTCATCTCCACAAATCTTTTGAAAAAATCCCATTATCAGAGTTCTCGTTCCATTAACAAAATATATATCATATATTACGTCAAAATAAAATTATAAATAATGTCTAGACAAGCTCGTTTATAAATATAATTTAGTTGATTTATAATTTATATAATAATATATTTAATAGTTTAACGTAATTTACTATCTTATTTATTTTTTATTGTATATGTCATTTTTAGAAACATTCTATTTAAATCGATAACTTTTAATTAATATTATGAGTTAATATATTTTATTAAACTATACATTTCTTATTGAATAAACAATTAATTAATTTTTATTTTTTTATTTGTGATCATTGTTTAAACTAACTAACTATATCAATTTATATTTAGATATAACATTATATAAATTTATTTCTTTGAACGTTTAAGATGATTATTTGAATTAATGGGTATTGAAATATAGGATTTGAATTTATCCTGTTACTTCGGTAAAAATCCTTTTCGAATTCCGCACTTAAGAAGACAACTCTTTATCTTTTCAAGTGAAATTCCATCATCAGATTAATTTAAAATAATCATTTTATTTTTAATATTCATAATTTTATACTATATCATATATTTTATTTTTATATATTTGTATATTTGTATATACCTATATGAACTTGTGTAACTAAATATTTCATTTCTCTTGCCTATTTAACCTATTTTCATTTATGCCTAAAATATATTTTATTTTCTTATATTTTCTTCCATTTATAAAGGTTATTTTTTAAAACTAAGTATTGTCTATTTTTTACATAAATCTCTTTTTTATTTATTATCGAATATTTACCTACTTTTTGATATTTTCCTCAACTAAACCTATTCTTTTATATCTAAGTACTCATTTTTTATTTAGACATTTGTTTTTCCATGTATAAGTATTCCACTTACCTAAACCTATTTTATTTTTTTAGTTTTTTACAACTAAATATTCATTTAAATTTATATTCTTTTATAGTTATATATTTTTAACTTGTTGTTTTTTTTACTGAATATTTATTTAATTTTCCTCATATATATTTTAACCTAAATTTATTATTATTATATTTAGCCATTCAATTTCCTCCTATACATATATTTCATTTAACTAAGTATATCTTTGTTATTATCAAATGTTATCTATCTCTATTTATATTTTCTGTTTCTTTTCACTTATATTTTTTTCTTAATATTTGTTAATTTTTAATATATTTTTTATTTTTTATTTTAATTAATCATATACTAAAATTAATTTATTTTTCTAATCAAACATTGGGCGAAGCACAACACCACAAAATCAAATTATAAAAGTAAAGGATTTACCTTCCGTGGCCTAATAGCAGCCCAAGACAGCCGGCCTGCTCCAGCAGATCTGCTTCTCCAAAGCCTGCGGAGCCTCCACCCAAACCGACCGTTTTGGTGCTTAAGCTGCAGCCCCTTCTCTTCTCCAATACTACGCCGTTTGGGACTAAAAGCCACTCCCTCAAAACGGCACCGTTTGGCTTATAAGCCTCCATTTTTGTATCTCTCCTCTTTATTTCATTCTCTCATTATCTCTTTCTATCGCCAGCTGCTCTCTCTTCTCTCTAAAAAAAACTCTTCTTTTTCCTTGTATCTCAACAGAAGCGTCTATTTCTTCACTCTCCCTCCAACCGATCTTCTCACTGCTGTTCAACCCAACACCCTCTAAACCTCCTCTCTCTTTTCCGATCAGAAACGCCAAGAAACTCCGAATCTCACCCCTAAACCCGTGAGAAAAAAAAAAGAAAATCTTTTTCCCCAGCCTCCTATTTGTTTCGTAGGTTTTTTTTTTGTTTCTTTTTTTTGGTTTTTTCGTGGTTATTGGCTGCTGCTAGGTTAGGATTTCTGATTCTTAGGTTATCAAAAAGAAAAAAAGGAAGGAATTTTTTTTATAGGGTTTTTCTCCAAATCTGCCTAGGTTTTTTTGGTTGTTTTCTAGGGATTTTTCTTATGCTTCTCTAGGGTTCTTGATTTCAAATTCAGTAAATCCTCAATTTTTTTTGGCTCTGCCAGCCGTTGGATGCGCTCCAAGACTGGTGGAGCAACCAGGAAGCCTCTGCTTGGGTGTCAAGGAACTCCTACCAGAGGCCTCGTACCCTTCCGTTTTTTTGGCTTTATGGTTTTAGCCAGTTGGCCAATTCTCAAGTTGTTCTTGATATTTCCAGATTATTCTTTAGTTTATTTTGTTTCAACCCTGATTTATTAAACTTAATTATATTTGCTTAGTTTGATCTGAGATTTTGATTTCAATTACTTTTGGATCTGTTTTTGGGCCATATTAAAGTTCCAAGCCCAACTTTATTTTGGGATTTGAGATTAACTGAAACTATGAAACTAATAAAATAAAATAAAGATAAATAATAACAAAATAATACAATAAACCATAAAAAGTAAAAACACATAAAAAAGTTGTGTCTACAGGTTGTTGTCTTGTATATTAGTATTTTCTTTCAGGATTCCTTTTGCAGGTTGTATTTTTCTGCAAAGCACAATTGCATTGGTTAAAAATATAAATATCCTTTGTTTTCAGAACATGGTGCTGAATTGCTAGCCTTCTACATCATCATGTTTGTGTTTCATTAATAAATGTTGATTCTGTAGCTGGGAAAAATAAATCAATGGCAGTTTCATATCGTATTCTTCTGTATTTCCTTTTATTCTTGGATGAAAACATCATTGATGAACAAACCATTTGTGCACTTTTTAGTAGTTCATGGTGTTTTCTGTTTTAATTTGAAGTAAAACCCATTTACACGTAAATTTGGTTTTCCTTAGTCTAAGGGTTATGGAAAAATAAATACAGAATTTTACTACAAGTAAATTACCATCTCCAGGTAATTTTAAAAAGGCCGGAGCACAAAAACGAAAGCGTTCCGAATTAGGGGCGCTCCGAGAATCGAACTCGGGACCTCTCGCACCCAAAGCGAGAATCATACCACTAGACCAAGCGCCCAACGAGAACTTTCCTTATGTAACTTATTTTACATTTCCAAATTCTAACCCTTCCACATTGTTTAGGGTTCCTGACCCCGACTATAAGACCACAACTTACGGTATTCCCATAGTCAAGCGACTCTAAAACCCTCTTTGTCGCCATCGTCTCTTTCTCTGTGGCGGTAACTTCTTAGCTTTCTTTCATTGTAATTCATTTTTTTCCCCGTAACCTTGATTTCAGTTTTCATTCCCTTTTCTACGATCTTAAATTTGTGTCTCCCGTTCCCCATTTTTGTTTCGGTACGATCTGATCTCTATCCATTTGTTCTCAGGTAAAAATGGCGACGGTTCCAGGTCAGTTGATTTGGGAGATCGTGAAGAAGAACAACTGTTTCTTGGTGAAGGAGTTCGGCAGAGGCAACGCCAGCGTCCAGTTCAGTAAGGAGAGCAACAATCTCTACAATCTCAACTCTTACAAGCACTCTGGTAACCTCATCCTCCATTTTCTTGAACTTGTGTCCCTAGAATCCCAAAACAGAAAAAAATGTCAATTGTTTTGATGGTCTTTTCTGAAATTTTTACAGGTCTAGCAAACAAGAAGACTGTAACTATTCAGTCTGGAGGGAAGGATCAGTCAGTGTTGCTTGCCACCTCAAAGACTAAGAAGCAGAACAAACCTTCAAGTTTGCTTCATAAATCTGTTATGAGGAAGGAGTTTCCTAGGATGGCTAAGGCTGTTGTCAATCAGGTATTCTACGAATTTGATTATTAGCATTTAATTTGTTATACTAGTTATAAACACGTGTAATTTTGGCTTGTATTCAAACCTCCTGGAACACAAACATTGACTACTCTTATGTTTGAATGTAATGCTCTTTGCTAATATGCTAATTTTCTGTTTAATGGTACGTTGATTGTTCAATTTTTACAGGGAATGTTATTGTTAGTTAAACCACTTTTATTCTAGAATAGTTGTTTGCAACCATCCATTGCTGGTTTTGTCTTAGAAGCGGTGATGAGAAGCTAACATGTAAGAAGACCTAACTTATAGTGGGTTCTTCAGTGAAATGTACTTGTTACGCTTGGCTTCTGAGCTTCCATCCTTGACCATGGAACCTTGTTCTTTTTCATAATCTTGTCTATTCTGCTATCTTGTTTGATCAATTGTTGCTGCTAACAATAATTATTGATATCAGGAAGTTGTCTTTTTTGTGGGATGTCTTGCATTAGTCGTACCGTGATCTAAATCCGTGGATGAAAAGTTTTGGAATGTGAGCCTTTTAGTGACTGCTGCTTGTTTGATGGTTTCAGGTTGCAGATAATTACTACCGACCAGATTTGAAGAAGGCAGCCCTTGCAAGACTTAGTGCTGTTCATAGGAGCCTTAAGGTAGCCAAATCTGGAGTCAAGAAGAGGAACAGGCAGGCTGTTAAGATCCCTGGTAGGAAGTGACATATTTAGGGAACATGATATGATTGCATCAGTGTTGGTTTTCTTTAGTTCCAAAGTTTCAGACGGCAAAATTTTCACTTTATGTTCCAGGTTGATGTATTGGAAGTATTGTTACCTCTGCTAGAGATGTTAAACCTAAATTTGGAGATAACTAGCTATGAGTTTAATTTTTGTGCATTTGGAAATTTCAATTACACTATACATGGGTGTGCATTTTGAATCTTCAGTGATTGAGTTGATTTGATAAAGCATTCTATAAATTTCAATGACTGGATTGTACTTTTCAGCAATTGGTATTATGTTAATCACCCTCCAAACCTAATAGTAATTGGTAAAAGCATTTATTTAATGTAATTTTACCTTCGGTTCATGTGCATAAATAATTTTATTGAACAACTTGAAGAAAAGTTTTATAGCCCCAGATAGTTGTACACTTACATCAAAACAATTGTGAGATCTTTAATGGTCATGATCAAATCGAAATTAACATTTGATTCATATGTATCTATTGGATCTCATGTCATCGACGATCGATCTTCAATAAACACTATAATTTTGCTTGATATGTGAATAAGGTTATGAATAGACCTGTCAAAATGGGCTTGGCCCGTCGGGTCAGTTTATTTTTTTTAAAATATGAGATGGGCCGGGTTTAAAAATTTAAGTCCATATTAAAATCGGGCCTAAACGGGTTAGCTCGTTTAGGCTCAAGGGCTGATTCGGGTTGGTACGGGCCAGCCCGGCGGGCCGCGGGGGGGAACGGGACTCGTGGGAGCCGGAGGAGGGGGGCAGGGCCGCGGGGGGGAATCGGGACTCGTGGGAGCCGGAGGAGGGGGGCAGGGCCGCGGGGGGGAACCGGGACTCGTGGGAGCCGGAGGGGCGGGGCAGGGCCGCAGGGGAGAACCGGGACTCGTGGAGCCGGAAGAGGGGGGGCAGGGTTAGCCGGCCCGGCCCATGGGCTGGACTGAACATTTTGTAGCCCATATAAAATATGGGCCAGGCCAGCCTATTTTTTCAACCACAAGAGCTAGGGCCTGGATGGGCCGGACCGGCCCATATTGACAGGTCTAGTTATGAATTTAATCTCAAAATGGTCACAATGAGCTCTATCAGAAGGATAAATGATGAATTACCCCAATTCCAAAGGAAGATTAGGAAAAGCTTTTTACTTCATTATTTTCATAATAGTTGAGATGTTTATTATTTTATTTTAGGGTGATTAATGATCTTAAAATAAGTAATAAAATATATTAAAATTAAAAAAATGATGTGAATAAATTTTGATAATCGATTTATTTGAAAGTATGTGTGTCAGTCCATAACAAAGATAATAGATACCTTGACTTTTTTTAATAAAAACATAATTTTAATAATTCATCCAATTTATTTCGTTAATACTATATTCATAAAAAGAAAATGAAACAATGGCCTTCTCACTTTTCTTTAAGTCCATTTGTTATGGGCCATGAGCAAGGTGCCAGCAGGAGCGTCAACCCCAAATCCAGACAACTTTCCATTTTTAAAATCACGTGCACTGCACGCGAGAAGTGCACTTTGTCGTCTCTCTTACATCTCCACTTTACTGGATTTATCATAAATAGCCCTAACTTATCCCCAATTTGTACAACATAATTTCCCGCCTCTCAGTTCGTCATTTCCCGCTCTGCAAAACCCTAACCCTCCGGCAAATGGGGCAGAAGCAGCAACAACCCAACCCCGATCCTCTCCCCGAACCCAAGAAAAGACGACGCGTCGGTTTCTCTAACATCGGTTAGTCTACTCTGTTCGGATTCTTCTTTTTCTGTTTTCACTTTTCCACCCGAAATGCATTTCCCATTTCGATCTTCACCTCTCCTCTCTTCGCAGTAATTTCCTTTTTTATTATTTTCCGAAGTTTATTTTGTGATTCAGCTCATTGTTGTTCTTTTTCCTGTTCAACAGATGCTGGAGTTGAGGCCAACGATTGCACTAAGATTTATTTAGGTGAGTTTCGCTTCTTCTTTTTTTTTAAATAAAGTTTTTTTTCTTATTTTCCCATAATTTATTTAAGCTTTCACTTGTATTAGTTTCATGAATAGGTTATCTTCTGCTGTTGGAGCCTAACTCTGTTTTTGGGTTTTGCTGTACTTTGGTGAACAAAAAGGAGAAAAAGAAAGTTAATTTTCTTGAATTTATCAATTGGATACTTTATTTAACTGTTTGAAGGAACAAGGAAGAAAATATTGTGATTTGGCATCGATGGGAATGTTTTTTATAAGACAGTTAACTTTGCTCTGTCTAGAGTAGAGGCAGTCATAACATGCAACACATCGACTGAAGCATTTTAGAATTCTCCACAGTATATAAGGTAGTCAGGCTTGTTATTATTGTATTAAAAAGTGGCATTGCTGCATAATTTGTCAATAATCCAGTTGGCAGACTCAATTCACTGTTAAATTCATTATATATCGCATGGGCCTAGTTCGGTGCTTCTTGATTGTTGGTAAATGTTTGTTCTTAATTATGCACGGGCTACTTATGAGGTCAGTTTTTAGTTTTCTGAATTTAATTTAGCTGACGTTCTCTCCACTTTAAATTTTGATATTTTCCATGTGAATGTTCTCCTGATTGCTAATTTGTTTAATTGATGGTATTTAGTTTCTAGGAAAGAGGAGGTGGGAAATTCAGATGGTTTCTGTATTAGTCCAGTTGATTTGAACAGCTTTTTTGAAGAAGATGGGAAGATATATGGTTACCAAGGGTTAAAGGTAATATACATTCATAAGTTGCAGCATGCTAGCCTTTAAACAGTCTTTATTTCTCTGTGATGGCTTAGTTTTGAGGTATTGTTTCGTTTCATTTTATGCAGATTACCATCTGGATTAGCAGTATATCATTTCATGCACATGCTGATATTACTTTCCAAGGCACATCTGATGTAAGTTGAAATTCTCATCCCTGAACTACCAGTAGCAGTTTAATCTCATTTTATATCATACGTTGAGTTAGTGAAGCATTTTTTGTGTCTTTCATGGCATTTTAATGATTTCTACTGTTATTTATTTCTAGGGGGGCAAAGGGATTACAGACCTGAAATCTGCTCTTGAGGTATACATTAGCTACCATTATAAAACCTTACTTTAATCCCTGAGTTTGTGAGGCCTTCTTATTAAGGAAGTCTTCTTTCTGCAGAAAATTTTTGGTGAGACTCTTCTGGAGAACAAAAACGACTTCCTGCAAACTTTTTCAACTGAAAATAATTTCATCAGGTATTATGCCGTGAAAATCTTATGCACATATAAAGATGTATTGCCCATTTCTCTTTGCATTGTCAGTTTTCTATTTCTTTCAATAATGGTGTTTTGAACTTAAGATGTTTACCCTTTTCAGTTCAGCTGTATCAAATGGAGAGAAGCTGCAAAACAAAGCCTCCAATGGCCATATAAGTCATTTTAATAGCAATTCAGAAGCAGCCTCATCTGACTTGGAGGTATTATTTTACTATCTTTGCTATCTTTGCATGCACTGAAATGGTTGTTGCTCTCATTAATATGGTCTTCAATTATGTATGAATAAAGTGTTTGTTTTGTTGCCTAAATGGCACTGTTATACCATCTATTTTATGTTCCATTTCCCCAACCTGAAACTTCAGTGTTCAAATTCCATTATATTTGGACTCAAATTTTGCATTGGAACTGAGCACAGGGAGTTGGACTGCACTTTTGCTATCTTCTTTTGAGATTTTTCATTGTTGTTTCCCATCTTGATACTAGTGTTTGTGTCAAGGTTGGTGTCATCTTTGTGAAATGCCTGTTTGTGTTAGTTTTTTCATATCATGAAATTTCAGGTACCCATGACAGAGAAGTTCTTTTTCCCATCTTGATACTTTTTCCATTTGCCTTATCGGGCAGTGATGGTTTTAGTCTGTTGTATGATAATTTACATTCTATAGGAGGCTAGTTGTGGTACGAGTGCTCATTAATAGTTAAGAGCACCATGAGAAAGTCCCAAGGAGTGATTTTCTGGGAAAAATATTTGATAGAGTAAGTTACCTTGATGTTAACTTGCTGGTAGATTGCATCACTATGAAATTAATGATATTGAATTGCACGCATGTGAATTTTGATATGCTTTCCTTCTGTCAGGTTGTTCGCATGGTGGTAAGCAATTTGGCTGCTGGACATCTTTATAGTCGCTTGGTACCTCTGGTTCTTCTTCTTGTTGATGGTAACTCCATCACTTGTCACTGCATATTATTGGCAGTATGTATTTCATTCTTAATATAATCTAAATAGTTCTATTTTCTTGATTAGGTAGCAATCCTATTGATGTAACTGATCCAAGCTGGGAGTTATATCTCTTGATTCAGAAGAAAATGGATCACCCAGAGAAACCTCAACATTTATTGCTTGGTTTTACAGCAGTCTATCGTTTTTATCGTTACCCTCAGGGTTCACGCTTGCGACTTAGCCAGGTTTAATCTCTTTCTTTGTCATTATTCATGTTAGTATCTGAGGTAGACTGAATGAAACCCAAACTATGTCACTCTTCAACAACTTTTGCATGTTGGTATAGTTTACTAATCACCTGTAGCATTTTTCATGAAATTTTTGTTTTTCGCAGATTTTGGTATTGCCTCCTTACCAGCACAAGGGTTATGGCAGTTACCTTGTGGAGGTGCTCAGCAATGTTGCAATATCTGAAAACGTTTATGACTTGACAGTTGAAGAGCCTCTGGATTACTTCCAACATGTGCGCACTTGTTATGATGTAAAAAGGTTGCTAGCCTTTGACCCAGCCCAGAGTGCAGTTAAATCAGCTGTTGTGTGTCTGAAGCAAGGGAAATTGTCAAAGAAAACCCATGTTCCTCGATTCCTGCCACCTCCTGATGTAGTTGAGGATGTCAGGAAAACTTTGAAAATTAACAAGAAACAGTTTCTTCAGTGTTGGGAGATTTTGATATACCTCGGCCTTGATCCTTTAGAGAAGCATATGGAGGATTATGTGACAATCATTTCTAATAGGGTGAAGGCTGATATACTAGGGAAAGATTCTGAGACTCTGGGAAAGCAAGTGATTGATGTCCCTAGTGTTCATGATGAGGAGATGTCATTCGTCATGTTCAGGTCTCAGAACAGCAAGGTTGGTGGTGTTCAAATGGATGAAGATCAGGCAAAAACTCAAGGAGAGCAGCTGCAGCAGTTGGTTGATGAGAGAATCAAAGAGGTCAAGTTAATTGCGCAAAAAGTGTCTCAGAAACACGTATGAAATACCAGTTTCTAGGCATGATGCATTAACCAGTTAAAAGTATTACTGAAAATTTATATTCAAGTTGTAGGTTGGGGTATATTGAGGCTTGTTTGTAAATTTTTGAGCTGTACTTTAATTTGAGCTTGTCTTAGAATATTAGCTGACCTTATATTTTATACTCCATGTCATCATTTTAATCCTCGTAGCAATATGAGAAAGCCCAAGTGGTTGTTGAATCAAACCCTGTCATATTCACTTCCCATTATTTGTGGCTTGTACCTATGCAAAGCTTTTGAGCAAGCATTCAGGGGGGCAATTTATTTGTTTTTTTAACTAATATTACCAGTAGGCTTACTACACCATGGCATTTGACAGTGTCATCCTAAGCTTTCCTTCGTGGGCAGTTGGCCCATAGAAAGAGTGGTAATGCCAATGGTGTTCTATTTCTCAAAAAGATATTGAGCGCTTACTATCTGATTCTGTCCCCGTTTTGGATTACTGAATATTAATGGCATATTTGCTAGGTAATTAATGTTTTTACACTGCCAAGTTTTCCTCCACTCCTGCATGAAGCATGCAGTGCATGTGCTGGGTCCTCCATGCAAGAATAACAACCATCTATTACCATCCTTTACCTACTGGTTCAAAATATTTATCCTTGTTAGTATCACAGAGCCTAAAATATCATCATTTAGTAAAGTTATTAGACAGCACTGTCTCAGCAATCATCAGTTTCACATTGAGTTCTCAAACTTTTGTACATCCATAATGAGTGGAAAATGGTTAGATGTTTCCCTTGGCAGGGTGCTGAGTTAGAAAAGCTAAATTCTGTGAACACTGTAGCCTGCATCCTCCGTTGTCAAGTCCTCCTTCCAATTTTGAAATTCAGATCCACCAAATACCAATTGCTTCATTCCAACGTAGCTGTTGAATGAGACATTAAAAGGGTCAGTCGGTATATACATGCAAACCAGAAATTATGGCCAAGGAAGTAACAGAACAAACAATGGAATTATATACATAATGTAAAGTGAAGTCAAACCATCTATGGAACTCAAGGTGATGAACAATTAATACTTTTGTATTCGCGATCAGCAAGTTCCTATTCTTCTAAGAATGCACATGCCAGAGATACTAGCGGTTTGGAGCTAGTCCAAATGATTGGTCAAATAAATGTTTACTTCACCTGATATGATATAATGGGGATTCCAGATTCATACAAGTGCCAAAATGTTGTCCAAAGAAATAAATATCTAGGAAACTTACTCAGAGCTTATCTGTGTCAATGCATTTATCAGAACATCCAGAAGCAATGGTTCAGTGGTGCCAATATCCACCCTGTTTAAAATTTTTATCATATTCATGAAACTCGCAGGAATCACAAAATATCCATTTTCAAAATTCTAAACAAATTCTTAGTATGCACAAACTCAGTGTCTGAAGAAAACAGGAAAGACACTAATTTTTTTTTTTAAATTGAAACCTATACCATATGCGTGCCAAGTTGTCTTGAACCTCAAGATCCCCAATGTTGTAAAATGTAGTTGCATTCACATTTGCTCCTTGAATGGCATCATAACTTGGTCTTTTCTCCAAAGGAGATTGTGATAACTGCAGAAAATACACAAGTAAGCAACAGACTTCTTTTTCAAGGTGCTGGACGTGGCACACTTAATCTGAATTAAAGTGCATTAATTCTTTTGGAACTCCAAGTATCCAGGAAAAGAAGAATAGTCCATTTCTTTTCCAAGCAATGGAATTTCACTTCTGATTATTATAAATTCATTGTGTTACTTTAAAATGGGAATTTCTTCATTTAAAACAACAAAAGAAAACACTTACTTGCATATTCATGGAATTGCATCCACCAAGCCGTCCAATGATGTGCCATGATCGAATTGTCTGCAAACAACCAGATCATTTGAGTCATTCAATTTTGTTCTGAAGATAATACCATTAAGATTCAACAAATTACTTACATCACAAATTAAGGAGATGTCTTTCTCCAATGGAGCATTGTAGAATTCAAACCAAATGTATGAGTTTGAAAAATTAAATCTGCCAGTGTGGACAATAAGAGCCAATTAATAAAACAGAAACTCTGACAAATTCTATCAATTGGGCAAGCAACAGTACAAGATGTTAGTAGAAGCTGACTCCAATCTCTGGGAGTGAGAAAAAGGCAATCATAATGAAATCCACACTTATAGTAACAGATTCGTAATGTAAACTATGAGAAGTTAATAGAAGAAGATAATTCGAGTGGTAAATGAGGATTTTCAACCATTTGGCAATTCATTATCAGCTACAACCAAGCTAAATTCCACAATCATGGAGCGATGTGAAAAATTGCTTATCTAACAGGGCCTCCTTTCAATGCCTCTTCGCTAGTAATCACAAGCTTTGTCTTGAAAAGGTCCCCCCAGCTTAGTTTCATCACCAATTACAGAAGGTAACACAAACATTTTCCAACTCTTGAAAACATCCCAATTCAGACAGGGATCCAGTGAACTTAGAAAGTTCCTAAAAGATCTACTATTGAATTACCAGAGTTGGAAATTGTCAGTATTGAATTATAGCAGAGATTCAGACAAATCCATATCAGAGGATAGATAAAGAGTGAATGAATTCTAAGTCGGGGCAATCAAAAGTGCCTCTATCGAATTAAGCATAACCAATGTACAAATGAACTCACTTGTTGAATGTTACTTTCATGGGTGTTGCAGAGCCAGTCTTAGTGTGCACAATTTTGTTTCTTTTCTTCCCCAGTCTGTCCTCCATCTGAACATTCAATCATCCCCATCAATTAAAACCATGAACACGAATATGCGCGCAAATCTCCTACAATTTTCCTTTTCTCTAAGCAAAGAAAGAAAAACCCATAAATATCTGCAAAACAATTTATAAAGTGATTAAGTTTTTACTTACTTTAGACCGAGCTTTTTGTGGGTCATCGAGACAACTCCCAAGAATCTCAGCAAATTCAGGGTCTTTATCGTAATTCTTCTCCTCTTCCCTTCCTCTAAATCCACCCCTTGCCTCATATTCTTCATTATCTTCTTCCTCATCCATCTCTATCTCCATATTTTGGGCACCCATTTCTTGGCTTCTTTTTGCTTTAACCACCAAAAACGAAGCCTTGGGTGAAGCATACTTCTGTAAGGAAAATTTAACGGCTGGAAACGGCGGGAAGCAGTTGAAACGGAAAGAAAATTCAGGGCGAGTAATGTTGGGGGCTTGAAGAGAAGAGGCTCCTGGGTTTAGCATAAGCATTTTCTTTTCTGTTTCTCTTTTCTGTAACGTTGGTTTCAGTGTAGAGATATTGCTTGGTAGCTTTCCGTTAATGGGTGCCTCTGCAAATGAGAGAGGGAGGGTTTTAGAGGGCCTGTCTGTCTAAAACCCTGTGAATTTGATCTTATCTTATACTATTACTTGCAACTTGGAACTTCATGAGCTAAAAACTGTGTCTTTGGGTTTAAATAGTATTAAAGCATGCTTAAAACTTCAGCTCTTTAGGGACAAATATATTACTAAAAATAAAATATTTCTAGCAAGTTGAAAGAACATGGAAAATCGATGCTAAAAACTGTGAAGTAAATTTTTTGTTTGATGATTTTGATTGCAAGCATGTTGGTTATTTACTAAGATAAAGGAACTGAACCTTTTGTGATGGGTTTTGAAAAACATATCACATGTTCAAGTTGCTAACTTGGACTAACATCCAATGGAAACTCAATAATTTTGAAGTCAAATGATGGAATGGAAGAAAAGGTTGAGATCAAATTCTTGATTTTAATACTGTATGATGATAATGATGATGATGAAGAATATAAAGTTTACCTTCTTAACCCAGATTTTAAAGCTTTTTGGCAACAAAAGTGATTGAAAATTGTACAGGACTGTAATTTTTTTTAACCATGGTAGCTATCAGTTGCCACCTTGCCTACCATGTCCTCCGCTAAAAACCAAACAGAAACAAACATGAACATCAGTGATGACACAGACAAGGGTTGAATGATAGAAAGTGGAAGGGCAGAAAATTTTCATGCAGGGCCGGGAGGTAGGAAAAAGAAAAATAATCATGCAAAAGGCGGGCCATCCATCCACGCATTCTCACGCGGATTCCACGCAGTGTTACGGACAAACTAGATCCAATAAAAAGTTTTTTGAGATTGACTAGTACAAGTCCTTCCCCCAAGTTTTTATTTTTTTTTAAAATTAAACCAAACAGCTTCCCAAGTCTAAACCATGACTGTTGCATCTTTCCCACTTGTTTCTACTAAGTCCAAAGATGCCTTTGCGCTCAGCAGACAGCTCACAGACCATAAAAAAGCAAAGTTTCAGGTCTCTGGAGATGGTGAACGTGGACATGGATAAAGAGTTTGATCAGCAGCCCTTTGGGGTGGACTATGGGAGGCTCGAAAATGGCCTTGTTTACTATGTTAAATGTAATTCTAAGCCCAAAAAACGAGCTGCTCTGGCTCTCGCTGTCAAAGTCGGGTTAGTTTTCCTTCAGCTTTTATTGTTTTTTCTTCTTTGGTATATGGTTAAGCGTATGCAATTTTGATGTTATGGGAGAAGTCTGGCTCATTACACATGACTCTCGGGTTCTTGTTGTATATGCTGAAACTGATATGTAGTTGATGGAAGTCAAGCACTTGCTACTTTCCCACACAATCCCATTTATCCCCACTGTAAAATTAAAATCAATTAACTGAACAAATTCATAGCCTTTTGCATTCGGTGCAAATCATGAGGTTTTTATTCTACACTTAAGAGTAATATGCTAATTTACTTGCATAAAAAAGTTCCTTAGCTTTGATTTTATCAATAATTTTTCAGCTTAGCATTTAATTGATCAAGTCTCCAAAGTTTCTCTGTGAAATTCTTCTTTATGCTTGTTTTGAATCCATTTATACGAAATTGTGCATTTGTGCTTGAATCTTTACTGCACATGTTGAATTAGAACTCTAAAAAGCTGACTCATCGGGTTCATTACAGCTCTGTTTTGGAAGAGGAGGATGAACGTGGAGTTGCTCACATAGTTGAGCATCTTGCCTTTTCTGCCACAAAGAAATACACAAATCACAATATTGTCAAATTCCTGGAAAGTATAGGAGCAGAATTTGGCCCTTGTCAGAATGCAGTAACATCTTTTGATGAGACTGTATATAAGTTGTTGGTCCCTGTTGACAAGCCTGAGCCGTTATCTGAGGCTATTCAGGTCCTGTCAGAGTTTAG